CACTTTTTTTCAGTGCCCAGAACAGACAGGTTTATATTAGGTGTGGAATCTCTCCCTGGCCACATCCTGTGTGATCAAAGTGGTAATGTCAGCCACACAGATCAAATCCTGTGGTCCAGGGGCAGGTCCGAGGGAGGGAGAGCAGATGCCCATGTATAACCTCTGGAGAGTGTTTGTAATGTGTTACCAGAGAAGTGCCATCATCTGAGTACAATCTATGACTTGAATGTCTCTGTGACATGGTGCTCATCTATGGTGTCCTTTTGCAGAACTGGGCTCTATAGTTATTAAATGCTTTCATTAATAACCGTGTGAAAAAGCTATGTGAGCTTCATGTCTGTATTTATGATGGAATGGTGGTGAGAACAGGGTCCATGATATCTGTTGCTATTCATATAATTCTTAGACTTTTCTTCCATAACGATGATGTCTCTAAGGATTTGCAGGACCTCAAGGGGGCAACCATGAATGGTGCAGTTGTTGGAATGTCTAAGCAAGGTGGATTTAAGTTATCAGAAGGGAAACAGTCAAAGGATGACACATCTGTCTGGTTTGGGATCTCAGCACTCAGTTCCTTAAGTGCTTAGGCAGTTAGCAAAGGCAGGGTGGGTAGTTTTAAGGTAGAGGAACAGACTGTTTGCATTGAGTTCAAGCATAACTTAGCTGCCTCATTATATTATCTTTTAAAACACGAACTCAGGCTGGGAGTGGTGGCACACACTAAGTCCCAGCACTCAGGGAAGCTGAGGCCAGCGGACTGCAAGTTTGAGTCCAGCCCGGACAACTCAATGAGACCCTGTCTCACAAAATAGAATAAAAATGTGCTGGGATTTAGCTGAGTGTGGAGGTTCTGGGTTCAGTCCCTGGTACCACAAAATAAACAAACAGGCAAATTAATTAAAATAAAAAAAGTAAAGCAAAATAGGCTGGGGCTACAGCTTGGTGGTAGGGTATGAGTTTAGCACACACAAGGCCCTGTGTTCAATCCCCAGAACAAAAAAGGAAAGACATTAAAGCACTGCACTGAAAGCAGATATTAAAAAAGAAAGTACTGAGACTCTACGTGGGCCACACCAAACAGGTACTCAGAACACACAGCTCTCACAAGGCAGACTGCCACCTGAGAGACTTTGGAACCTGACCCAGAAGCTCAGTGTCTCAAGCTCTTCTGTGCGGGGCCCTGCACTGGACATTTCCCTGCCTAAATCTGGGCCAGGACCTTCGCCTCTGGCTTGGTAAAGCCAAGGGCCCTTCTGGACTTTCTGCCCAGAAGCACATGTGATTTGCTTCCTGCCTAAGGCCTGCTCCAGGGTTCCTGCTCCCTGCAGATGCTCTGGGCTTGCCAGTACTTAGAGGGGACACCCCAGTGCTGACCCTCCGGGGAGCCGCCAGCCATGTCCTCCTCGAGGTAATCACATCATGATGCCACACGCAAGCCCCTGGCACACAGGACAAGGTGCACACATTCTCTTCGGACGGGCGGGCAGTGTTGAGTGCAGCAGCCATGTCACAGGTCCCCACCCCTGCAGAGGCTGACTTGCGTTCCTTCCTGTGAATGATGGGTTCATCTCGGACTTTCCATGGGTTATGGGTGACCTTGGAGAGAGGAGGGGGTGGCGTTGAGAGAAGATTCAGGTGTTTCTCACATTTAAAGAGTTTCTCCTACAAGACCAATTGAAATGTTCAAGAGAAAGGACCCATTTTGTGATGTATCTTATGACTCCCCTGGAGTCAAACCTGTGCACAACCACCCAGGGACAGCTGCTTCCTTGAGTTTCAAAGCCAAAGAGATTGTCTGTCCCCAGACCCACAGGCTCCGCCTTTCTCCTTGCACCACCACCTGCATGCCATTTCTGGTCCACACTGAAAGGAAAGTAAGTAGCTTTTCAACTGTGATTCCTTTATATTTAGAGAATAAAGCCCAGCATAAGGAATTAAGATGGAAAACAACAGAGTCCTTGGGAGACTAGTACCTATGGCATTGTGTTTGGAGTGGAAACAGCAGTGTGTTTCAGAGACTTAAAAAGAGAAGGGGAAGCTGAGGGTGTAGCTTGGTGGTAAAGCAGATGTCAGCAAGCTCGAGGCCCTGGGTTCATCCTTAGCACCAAAACAGTAAAACAGCTCCCCTCCTAGTCCCACACAGAAGAGACCACAGTGCAAATAGTGCGTTAGGCAAAAGACTGAGTTGTTCCCCACATTAAACTATTTTAACTCTGGCACTTTTAGGAATATCTGACTCCCAGGAAAACAAACTTAAAGGAACTTTCTATTTGGAGATTATATTGAAGGGTTTTCCGGGCATAGGGCTGTGAGCCAAAGGGATGGAAAGGACTTTAATTACAGACAACTGCATTTGAAGTCACCCTGCAGTGGTAACTCAGACTCTGGCCCTGGTGGGAGGAGGTAGAGATGTTTGTGCCAGTCAGCTGGTGAGTATACAGCGCGTAGGGAAAGAGCCTAGCCAACGCGGCCTGGATGTTGGCCTCCCATGAGTTGCATGGGGAGCTACTCAGTCTGTTTGTCACTTAATAGAATACCTTGGACCCGGTGACTTACAAAGAGGTTTATTTTAGCTCATGGTTTGGAAGGCTAGCACCCCGCGTTTGTTTAGCTTCTGGTAAGGGCCTTGCGCTGTTTCATAGCGTGGCGTAGGGTGGGGCGGCAAGGGATGTGCTGCGCCTGGAGTCACCAGTCCAGCACTAGAGAAAGGCGTTGCTCCCTCTTAACAGGCTATTCATCTCCTCCAGCCTGGCTTCCCAGCACCACCTCTGTGGCTGCTAAATTGCAGCATGACTTTCGGAGGAGACAAAACGTTCAAACCACAAGAGGGGCTCAGAGATGGTCACCCTGAGGCCCGCAGGATCAGAAGTCCCAGCCACTTGCAGTGTGTGCCAAAGGGGGCTGGCAGGCACGAGACACTTGGGTGGGCGGGGGGAGGCTCAGCCACACACAATACAGCAGGCGGAGGAAGGGCACTGCCTGAGATCAGAGGGAGGGAGGAGCCTGCACCGCCAGGCATGGAAAGGAGTCTGAAGCACAGGAGTTACACAGCCTGGTGCTGGAAAGACCTTTCCAGCTGGAGTGTTTAGAGCCAAGTGTGCGGGGAGAACCCAGCATCCAGGCAAGAGTCTGCTGCATGGTTCAGAAAAGACAGCATGAGCCAGAGACCCCTGTGTTTTTCTTTCCCTGAGACTAAACAGATTGAACACCTCCTCAGCTAGCATGGCTGGAGTGTTAACTAACTTATTACTGAGGGCTGTGAGGTGTGAAGGGTGAAATCCGTCTGACTGCCCTGTTTAGAGATGGCGCCTTTGGGAGATTAGGGTTTGATGAGGTCATCTGAGTGGAGTCCCCAAGACTGGGATCCCAGAGCTTTGTAAGAAGGAGAGAGAACACATCTGTGCCTGCTCACACACACGCACACGCACAGCCCACACACACCCATGTGTGTCTTCTCTGTGACCTTGGTACCCTGCGTGCCCTTGGGACTCTGCCACCAAGAATGCAGGTAACAGATGCGGGTTTTCAACCTTGCACAGAGCCTGAGCCAAAATAAGCCTGTTTTCCTTATAAGGTCCCCAAGTCTCAGATGTTTCATGCTCTAATGGAAATGGACCTGCCGGCCTAGGCTGGTCACTGGTAGGATCTGAGGTAGAAAGAGCAGCTTCCCAGGCTGATCAGGACAGTGTGGCAGAGTACAGCCAGGTATGCAAAGGAGAGGTCAGAACCCACTGACCAGGAAGAGGACAGCAGCTCCTGTGGATCTGGTTGCCTGGTTAACGCCCTCCCAACCTCCCCGTCCTTCTTGTTTGCTGGGAGGAATCAGTGTAACCACAGTGGCATGGCCGCTGATGTGTGTGGAAGTCAGCAGTTAATAACGCATGACTGGTCACGATGCTAAGTAGCCCCACGGTAACCCTTGCTATAAAAGGTTGATTTAACGTTGAACAGTGAGACAATGGGGAGATTGTTTCTGTGTGTTTTCATCCAAAGTGTCATTTGGCAACTTCTGACTCTCTGCATAGCAAGTTCCGGCTGAATTCACCCTCGGTGCCAGCTCCCGTGCTGCTGGGGTCTGGAGGGAGAGGGAGGCGGAGCTAAGTGCCGCAGCGTCTGCAGCCTGGAGGGGCTCATGGGCACACGGGGAGTGAGGCCGATGCTGTGGTTGCCACAGGTGCGTGTTTTACTAGGAACAAAGATGATTAAAATATATGGTAAAGGCTTAAATTGTTAAAAATTATTACCTTAAAGAGACATGGCCATGAATCCTCCTCAAAGGCCTTCCCCTCACTCCAAACACACTCATCCTACTCTCATCCTACTGTTCCTGCCACTTTCTGAAGCGGTTGTGGAAGCCGTCTTTTGAGTCTTTATGAGTTGTGATTTTTTAAATTTCCGGCCCTTCCCAAAAGGCAAAATGACTATGAAAGGTCATTGTCTGAATCGGTTCAGGACATTGAGGCAGCCACAACAGCACAACTAAAGACACTCAAGAAAGGGGACTTCCAGAGCTGCTTCATAAAGGGGCAAAAACAATGGGAAGCATGTTTGAAGCAAAGGTTTTAGGGGGGGACTCAAGGCAACGTGTCTTTTATTGTGAGAGATGTTAAAAATGTAAACACTGATCATGTTTTTCAATCATACCTCGTCTGAGGCCCGCGGACCGAACAGGTCTCCCTCAATCAGAGTCCTGGGGAGGGTCGGCCCCTCATGGGCCCGGGAGCTGCTGCACAGCATGGTTTGAGGATCACTGGGCGAGGCCACCTTCTTGGGGTACACATGTTGGGGGCACAGCACGAGCCAGATGAAGCTTCCAGGCCCCTTGGCTCCTAGCTTCCTCCTACATCAGGCTAAAGCTCTGGAGAGACGCAGGAGGCTCTGCCTGGTCCAGAGATCTGGCCTGGGCTGGATGGACCCAGCCATGTGACTCTGGAAGAAACTTGGGCACTCCCAACCCACTGGTGCCTCAGTGGTGCCCTGAGGGTGCATTTGTGTTTCAGACCCCAGAAGGAAGAGGATCACCTACCACTCGCTATGATGCTGGCTGCTCGCCTCTCCAGACCCCTGTCACAACTCCCAGGAAGAACCTTAAGTATCTGCGACAGAGAAAATGGAACAAGGTAAGCAGCGAAGCGTGCAGGGGGCCTTGGGTGTCACACTCTCCCCACCTGGGTGACGCCAGCTGGGGTCATGGTCCTGACTATCAAAGGTGTCTCAGTACCTGTGGCTCTCAACAAAGGAAGCCGGAGGTGACCTCAGAGGACACCTTCCCAGGGCAAAAAGGGACAACATTGATAACTACTTTCTAAAACCTTTTTACTTTGAAATCACTTTAGACTTATACAGTAGTCACAGAAGTGGTACAAAGGGTTCTGGAAGTCTTTTCCCTAACTTCCCCAGTTATTCACATCTTATGAAACCACAGTACAGTGACCAAAGTCAGGAAATCATCATTGCTATAAAACTACTGTCCAAGCTGTGGACCTTACACAGATCTCACTGATGGACCTGTCTCTGGCGCCTGGTGCTAAACCAGGATCCTGCATTGTATTTGGTTGTTGTATCTCTCCTCTCTCCCTCCTTCCTTTCCCTCCCTTGCTTCTGGGGATTGAATCCCAGTGCCTTTGCATGAACTACATACCCACCCACCCCCCTTTTTTCTGATACAGGGTCTCACCGTAGTCCAGCTGCCTTTGAACTCACTACGTAGCCCAGGCTGGCCTCAAACTCCCGCGGCCTCCTGAGTGTATTTAGGCTTTTAGCTGCATTTGTGTGGGATTCAGAGCAGAGGCTAAGCCCAGCAATGGGCCGCAGCTACCAGAGGTCACTGTATAGAAGAGCCTGCAGTGAAGGCAGCAGGGCCACCATTCTGAGATGGGACACAGCCTGGCTCTGCTGAAGGGCTTCAGAAACAAGGTGATTTTCTGCATTTAAAAAAAATCCATGGACCCTTGAGTTACGACCAGCCTCACATACAAACAACTGGGGTTATGACCAGAATTTTAGGTTTAACTGAGAATCAAAGTTTGAGTTACAACCAAAATGATGGCTGCTTGAGCATCTGGGAACAAAGACTCACAATGCCGGAAACATCTGTAAGTGTTCACAGCATCGGTCTGAGCCCAGGTGCATGTTTGTGGGCGTGATTTTTAATCAGAGCTATATAATCGCTATGACTACTGCTATCAAAACAGCTCCCCAAGAGCTCAAAAAGAAGCTAAGGGAGGAAGAGAAGGTAAAGAAAGCAATCACAGTTAAACAGTGTTAAAGAAAGACAGAAGCACAGTCTTAGCGCAGTCTTCTTAGTTCTGAAGAGGTTGAGACCTAGAGAGCCAGAAGCAGGCGCTAGAGGGCTGCAGAGTCCCGAGGGGAGACAGCACCGGAGAGCTGGGGTCCTGCTCTTCTTCCGGAAGGGCACTCTCCTTCCAGACAGTAACCCCCTGTTATCTCACCCGCTCCTGCAGGCCAAGGGTGTCAACTCCAAATGGTGAGCACAGTATGAAATTGTTCCTGGCAAACAGCATGGTTTATAACTCTTTGGTGAATACACTAGGAAAATTAGCAGTGTTTCTGATAAATTACATATTATACAGCCCTTTTTATTATGACAAGGTTAGTTAGGGGGTGCTTTGGGAGGCTCAGAACACATTACGGGTATTTCCATTGTTTCTTATAGGGAGAAGTCTTGACTTACAACCAACTTGAGTTACAACCAGCTCTTACAAGCAACTGAGTTCCTAAGCCAAGGGTCCACGGGATTTGTTTTTCATTAGTCTGAATCCTAAAGGGGAACACAGATTCTGTGTTCAGTGGCCTTAGCAGTAAGGCTTCTTTGGCGTTTGGCCCTAACCATGCCACTGTGTCTCTCTCTGGGAGTGAGTAACCTTCCCCCAGATTACGCTAGCTTGATCCATTTGCCACCAGGAGTCATGTGGATTTTGTACCACCTGTGGTTACCTAGCAGAGGGAAGGGACCCTCCCTGGAAAGGCTCAACCTCTGCTGCAGCAGGGAAGCAAGATGTCGCAGCAGGCATTGAGGCTTCTGCTTGTACCTCATTGGCCAGAGGTGGGTCACATGCTGTGGGTAGTGTTGGGTACATGGCGACCCTGCATTAAGCAGATTCATTCGAGGCAGATATTGGCAGAACAGTAGCACTGCCTGCCACAGTTGAACCCAGATGTGGCCTACGGCTGATTTTGTCCCCAAAGCTCTTGGCATTCAAGCTGCAATAAAGGGAAACCTCTAGGGGGAAAAGCCCTTTTTCCTTTTTCGTTTAAGGCGGTCGCTTGACCTCTGGTTGCAGGTTAGAATCTCTCAGAGCACTGTAGGGAAAGAAAGGGGCTAAAACCAGGCACGGGAAGAGTTATAAAATATTCCTTGAAGTTAAAACTATGTATATTCTATGTAAATGAGGAGTGGTGGCCCAATTATATGCCTATAATTCCAGCACTTTTGGGAGGCTGACGCAGGAGAATCACCACAAGTTTGAGGCCAGCCTAGGGTACTTGGTAAGTTCAAGGCCAACCTGAGTTATACAGCAAGAACTTGTTTGAAAAAGAAATATTTCTGCATGGAGACGCTCAGACCTACAAAAGAGGGAATCTGCACATTGACCCTGAGCATAGCCAGCACCGGCCTCTCTAAGACTCAGCTCAGGCCAGTCATATTTCATCTGTGTCCCTACCTGTTTTCCTCCCCTGTCCATCTGGATTATTATGAAACGAACCCTGGACATGGTATTTTGTTTGCAATTATTTCAGCGTCTGGCTCAAAGTGATAAACTCTAATGACGTAATCACACAGCCATGGCCATGCGTGTTCCCAAATGATTCCCGCCAATAGCCGAGCAGGAGAGCCCAGGCCCACTGCGGCCCATAGGAACTGTGCTGCCCCTGGGCCTATTGGCAGGGAGTGGGGTGACCGGAGATAAATCACACGTGCAGAGTCCCAGGCACTGCCCCCTTTTACTGAGTCAGAATATCATGAGGGGGACCGAGGCTTTGCCTTTTTTCAGTATTTACAATCAGTATTACTTTCATTAAAGTTACAAATTTAAAAATGGGCTCCTGAGTTTAACTTATAAGTTTTATTTCTAAATCTGTTGAATTTAACACTGACCTTTGAAGTAGCCTATTGGGTATCATTTAAAAACTTAGTTAAGCTTCACTGAAATATTTCAAGTTTAATATATTTTTATTCATATGAATTTTATAAAATAATAAATTCTATAAATCTTATATTTGCAAACATTTTGATATTTTTTATAAATTTTGTAAAACTTAACTTTTGAGGGGAGGGTACGTAGGATTGAATCCAGGGGCATCCTACCACTAAGCTACCTCTCCAAGCCTTTTATGTTTTTATAATTAGATAGAGTCTTGCCCAGTTACCCAGGCTGGCTTTGAATTTGCTAATCCTCCTTCCTCAGCCTCACAAGTATCTGACTTACAGGCGCGTGCCACTGTGCCTGGCTTATGTTAAATATGTTTAACTTAAAAAAAAAAAACAACTCTAAACTCTAAAATTAATATCTCTAAACTTTAACATTAAAACTCAATGATATATTTTAAGTTGGAATCATGAGGCTTATATATCAGATCCTCTAATAAGCTAAGTGTTCTTCATTGTTATAAATGTTCAAAATATAAGACATATATAAATCATTCCTAAAATCAATTCAAAATAATTTTTTTGGATGTTAGATCATGATTTCTAGGGCCAAATTAAGAAGTCCTATCCTCCTAGAAAATTGGGCCTGTTACTACAGCAGGTTGATTTGATCATTCCAAATAGTCATGGTTATCTACTCAGTGGCTGATACTGAACCAGAAAGAAGCATTATGCTTTTTGTCTTTGGTTTTTTGAGAGAGGGTCTCATGGTATAGTTCAGATTGGCCTCGCACTCACTTTGTAGCCTCCTACAAAGTGATCCTCCTACTCACTATGGAGCCTTCCTGCCTCACCCATCTGAGTGCTGGAATTACTGGCATGCACCACCACACCCAGACTCAGAAAGCTGTTGACCAAGGCACCTCTGGAGCAGCCAATGTCTAGGACAATTTTCTTGCAAAACCAAGACAGCCTGAGCTCTGTTTTATGATTACTCTGCAGTTGGAGACTCCAGCCCATCCTCCAAGGTGGGGACAGACCCCCATCCCTGGGCTCAGTTGTACATTACCAGCTAGAGCAGTGTGTCAAACTTATGGCACGCATGTCATTGTGGTTTTTTTTTAAAGACAAAAGATATTAATAGAGTTGTTTTTTCTAAACGAAAACTTCACTATTCAGGTTCAATTTGCAGTGGTGGCACTTTGTGATAAGTAAGTGAGCTTGGTTTGCAGTTTGGGCACTTGTCTCTAAAAGGTTCGCCATCACGGAACTGGAATTCTGCACTTTAACGAGCATCCTTGGTGCTTATTAACTAACACTAAGAACTGAGGTGCTCAGATCTTCCAAGACCAAAGGTCTTTTCCATTGAGAGCACCAAGGTGAGAGTCCTGGAGACGCAGGAGCTCCAATAGACAGGAGAGTGGAGAGGCAAGAGCAGGATGGGCACTGCCAGCAGTACCCACGAAACACCCTGGTGCCAGCCAGAGCTGTCCAGCACTTCCAGGGCCTGACTGCCCACCTCAGCTGCCCCGGGTGGAGGAGTGGAGCATGTGCTCCATGGGGAAACAGAGATGGGACCAGTGGGAAGAGTGGATCAGATGGGGTGCCATGATCCACATCTGTAATCCAGCTACTTGGGAGGCTGAGGCAGGAGGGCTGCAAGTTCAAGGCCAGCCTGGGCAACTTAGCAAGACCCTGTCACAAATAAAATGTGAAAGGCTGGGGATATAACTCATGGTGGGGTGCTTGCTTAGCATATAAGTCCCTGAGTCCAGTCTACAGTACTACAGAAAAGAAAAAAGTAGGAAGTGAGGAAGGAAGGAAACCAATCTCTCTCCTGAATAAAGACGCAAAAATCCTTAAAATATTAACAAATAGAATTCAGCCAGATTTAAAAAGAAGTATGAGTCATGAACAAGTGTTTGTTCTCAGAGTGGAAGAATGGTTCATTATTTTAAAATCAGTATCACCCACGAAATTAATGAACCAAAGAAGAAAAATTGCATGGTTCTATTAATGCAGAAACAGCAAAGTTTAACAACCACTTATGATCAGGAAAAAAAAATCAGAAAAAGAGACACAGAAGGGAACTTCCTCAACTCAATGAATAACATTTACAACAGACCTATGACTAACATCGCCCTTAACAGAGAACTGAACACTTCGCCTCTAAGATAGCATTGTAAGTTGCAGCCAGGGCAGTAAAGCAGGAAAAAGAAATGAAAGTCATGCACCTCAGAAAGGAAGAAATAAAGGTGTTTACATACAAACTCCCAAGGAGTAAGTGAGCTCAGCAAGGTCAGAGGGTACAAGATAACACAAAAATGAGTTGTCTTCCTATGTACTGGCAAAGAAAATGTGGATATGAAAATTAAAAACAATACTGTTTTTCACTATTCAAAAGGAAAAAAGAAGTGAGATGGGGCTGAGGGTGTAGCTCAGTGAAATAGAGCTTGTCTAGCACGCATGAGGCCCTGTGTTTGGTCGCCTGCACCAGAGAGGAAAGGAAGGACAGGGGACGAAGGAGAAAATACTTAGGTGCAAATAAAAGAAATCATGTCCGGGATTTGTCTGCTGAAAATTACACAGCACAGATGAAAGAAGTAAAAGATCTAAGTAAACGGAGACCTATATTGTGTTCAGGAGTTGAAGACACAACAGCATGAATGTGTTCATTTTCCCTGTTAGTTTTATGGGTTTAGCACACATTCTATTAAAGTATTGGTCCAAATATTTGTAAATAAAGACAAGATTATTCTAAAGCTTATAGGGAAAGGCAAAGGCGGTAGAATGGGTAAAATATTTAAAAAGCTGAATAAGGTAGAAACCCGAGGTCAGTGCAATGGAAGAGCAAATTCAGAAATAGACCTGTACCAAAATGCCTGATTTTTGGTAGAAATGCAGATGTGATTCAATAGAAGAAGGTAGTGTTTTCAAACAACAGGTACTGTGGCAATTGGAAATTCACAGGCAGAAAATCCCCTCTTGACCAAAGTCTCATCACACAAAGTTAACTCAAAACGGGTTGTGGACTCAAAATGTGAAGCACAAATCTATACAGCTTTTAGAAAAACAAAGACCTAGGCATTGTGGTTCATGCCTGTGAGTCCCACACTCTGGGAGTCTGAGGCGAGAGAATTATAAATTAAAAGCCGGTCTGAGCAACTTAGTGACTTAGTGAGGTTGTCACAAAATTAAAAATAAAAGCAGTTCAGGGAAATGACTCAGTGCAAAGGTTCTGTAGTTAGGCAAAAGGTTTTGCATAATCCATAAAAGGAAAAAAAGATCAATCAGATTGCAATAGTTTTATCCTGCAGTAAACCCTGGTAAGAAGATAAAAAGGCAAGTTACATATTAGGAGAAAAGATTTGTATGACACATCTGAACCAAAGAACTAGTTTCTAGAACATCTTCCCTAGGAAAAGAACAGTCCACAGAGAATATGGGCAGAACACAAGGAGAAACATTTTACTGAAGAGGACATATGTGTGGTCTGTGATCTTAGTGCCTGTTCCACCCAAATTCATACATTGAAGAGATGATATGAAGAGATGGGGCCCTTACAAATAAGATGAGTGCCATTATGAAAGAAGTTCGAGACACCCATCTCCCCTTCTGCACTGGGAAGAGACAGTTCTAGGAAAGAAGTAGGCCCCCACCAGATAGTCTTCTGGTCTTGATCTGGAACAGTTCCCATCCTGTAGAACTGAGGAAATAAATTTCCACCCTATAAGCCTCTGTTTATAAGCTACCCATACTGTGGTGTTTTGTTTTAGCAGCCCAAACTGACAGTGCATGAAAAGATATTCAACATCATTAGCTATTAGAGAAACGCAAATTTAAACCACAGTAAAACAACCATTGTGCATTTGTAGCATGGCTAAAATAAACAATAGTAACACCATCAAATACTGGTCAACATGTGGACAAACTGGGTCACTCATTCATTTCTTCTGGGGGGTGGGATGCTGGAACCACTCTGTAGTTGTAAACAGTTTGGCAGTTTTAAAAAACTAAACATGAAGCTACCACGTGACCCATAATTCTACTCCTGGGCATTTATCCAAAAGAAATAAAAATTGGCTTTGCACTAAAATCTGGATAGAGATGTTCATAGCAGCTTTTTTCTTTATAGCTCCAAACTGGAAACAACCAGATGCCCTTCAATAGGTAAATAATTAAACGAATGCCCACACTATACAATACAACTTAGTAATAAAAAGGAATACACAGTATACACAGCAATCTGGAGAATGATGTTGGATGAAAAAATGCAAACCCCAAAGGTTACCTGCTGTGTGATTTTTATTAGTATAATGTAACATTCTTGAAGTGACAGTTACACAGATTAGTGGTTAAGGAGGGGAGTATAAAAGGGCACTAGGAAGGTTGCTAATGGTGATAGGAGGCTACTGGGGACCTGGCCAAGTTTCCCAATCTCCCAAATGAGTATATGGCGAAGGCTTAAATAAATGAGACAAGTGGTATGATTTTAGGGCTCCAGGAGGATCAAAACCCTCTGGCAGAGTTCAAGACTCTGAGGGCTAAGACAAAGAGCTTCTCTCAACAGCCCATATTTATGAAGTTTTCAAAGAAAGAGAGGATACTGAGGAAAGCTCAGGAACTGAGCAGGACCTTGGGAGTTACTTCAAAGACTTCTCCAAATAGTAAATTATGCCACTTTAGGGAGAACCTGGATCAGTGTCAGTGTCCTAGTTGTACAGCATAATTTTGTAAGATGCTGCCATTAGAAAAAAATTAAGTAAAAGGTACCTGACATATCCCTGTATTATTTCTTAACTGCCTGTGAATCTATAATTATTTCAGAATAAAAAGTTTAATTCCAGTAACTATTAGGAAGCAGCATTCAAGCTATGAGAGTTCAGACACTGGCTCACAGAATGCTTTAACTAAGCCGCCTCACTGACAGGAGGGCCTGTCAGTGAGGGCTTGACCTAGTCTGAGGGATCACCTACCTGTGTCACTGTGGACGGCAGAAAAGGGGACTTTATTGGAGCCACTCGGGCCAGTCATGTCTTGCCAAGGCCTCCAAGCAAAAGTGGCTTCTGGGTTGGCTTCCTTCCTAGGAAGGCTCTTCCTGTACAGTAGCTACACAGGTTATTGTGTGGGCTCCCTGCCCACCCACCTGGCACCAGGGGGAAGGAGGGCTCTTTCCAAGCTGTGCCAGCAAGAGCTTCAGGCCAGTGACGGCTGCAGATGCCTGTGCTGCCTCTGGCCCGCGAGCAAGGTCTTAGGAAGGTCATAGCCTTGTGCTCACAGCTTCCTTTTCTCTCGCAGACACACACTGTTGTTCTGCTCTGCCTCCTGCACCCCGCTCGGCCATCGGACTTATGCCAGCGAGGCGAACCCGGTGAGTGGAAGCCCAGGGCAGCGGTCAGAGAGGCAGCGCTTTTCCCTCTGGGCCCCCGCCCCTGCCACCCTGGGAGTAGGGCTTTAACACTTTCACATGTGCTGAGCTGCTTTTTCACTGAACTGTCCCCGACGAGGCCCCCACCAATCTTGAGACCATACCCTCCTATGCATGTGGGATCCTGCAGCAAGTTGAGGGTTAAGAGTTCAGCTCTGGAATCTCTCCATCCGGGTTTCAATTCCAGCTCTATCACTAAGGATGTTCCCTGTCTCTATTTTCTCACTGATACCATGGTCTAATAATCATACACAGTATACAGGGCTGGGTGAAAGACAAGAAAGCTTCCTGCACAGTAAGCCCGGCCTTGCCTACAGTAAATACTGCACCTAATAAGGTTGGCATTGATGCTGCTGATGACAATGGTGATAATGGTGATTGAGATTGGAAAGCTGAGACCCTGGTAGCAGAAATCTGTACCCTAGGCAGCACTGTCAGCGGTCAAGCATGGGTTGGAGTCTGGTGTCCTGATTCCGAGACCAAGCTTCTTCAGTACACTTTGGTACTTTATGCAAAGTGGGGGGACCAACCTGGGCCACCCCAAGCACTGGAGGTTACTCCCCAGCTGGCCAGGGGCCTGAGCTCTCCGCTCAGGACTGTGGGTTCCTAACATGAGATCTGGTCTTTGAAAGCAGGATGGCAGCAAAGCTGTCCTGATCACAGGCTGCGACTCTGGCTTCGGGTTCTCCTTGGCCAAGCACCTGCATTCGAAAGGCTTCCTTGTGTTTGCTGGCTGCTTGATGAAGGTAAGAGAGGAATCTTTTCTTTACCAGTGACCAGATAGTTGCAATTTTGTGGGTTTTAAAGCCTTGTTTTCCCAACAACTGTCTGGTCTGTTGCTTAAAGTAGCCTAAAACGTTGCTGGCTTCGGCCTCCCTTGTCTTTCATGGCTTTTTCCATCCGTCTGTATTCATCCGTGCATCCATCCATCCACCTGCCTTTTGTCCATTTATTCCTTTTCCAGGGCTAATGTCATGCCCAGGGCTTTGCTAGGTGCTGAAGAAGAATAAGTCCCTGCCCCAAGGAGCCACCTGTCCAGAGGTAGAGGGATACCATGCACAGACATGGAGAAGAACTAGGGTGAAAAGCATTATCAGCGATGCACAAGAGTGTTCAGTGGGAAGACAGGGAAGTAAGAGACCGACTCTCAGCTAGGCATGGAGTGCTCCACTCAGGGAGGAAGACGCAGGAGGATCTCAAGTTTCAGCCCAGCCTGGACAACTAGGTGACTTAGTGAGATCCTGTCTGAAAATTAAAAATAAAAAAGAGGTTTGGGATATAGTTTGGGATGAAGGAGGAGCCTAAACCAGGCATGGGGCTAGTGTTTGCAAGCAGGGCACAGGACTGCCCAGGGAGCTGGCTGCCCTTCTGCCCAGGAGGACAAGCTGTCTGGCCCATGTGGACAGCTGGAGCTGGCTGGAGCTGTCTTAAGGGCACTCGTCCAGTGCAACTGCCCACTGGCGGAGGGGCCGTCCCAGCAGTAGTGTCTCCTCAGAGTCCCTGGGAAGAAGGGCTGCCTCTTGGGCTTCTGCCAGCTCATGGGGACAACAGCAGCCAGGCCACCTCAGAAGACCACACTGGTGCCCTTGCATCTGCCAGGTGCGGGAGCTGGACTGGGGATGGACAGAGGGGAAGAGAGGGAGAAGCTAAAACCCAGGAAGAAGGGACCGTGCTCCCTCAGGACAGGTCGGGGGTTTGGAGTCACCCGGTTGGTAGATGGAAGCAAAAGCCTCTTTGTCTGTGCTGAGAATGAATGGAAAAGCTCCAAGATGGGCCTGAACTCCGTCCAGGGGTGGAGAAAAAATAACTTGTGGGTAGGTTTAAGGGTCCAGTGGGAGAAAGAAGTAGGTTGACCAGTAAACTAGGTAGCCCAGCATCAACAGAGCAGGATCAGAGCCTGCCCTGGAGGGGACAGAGTTCCAGGGAGATAGCATGGCTCAGGAGTGAGGCCCAGGGCTGAGTGCAGGTGGGCACAAAGGACGCAGCCACCGTAGTCTGCAGCCCCTGGCGGTAGAGGTGGGGGAGGCTGGGAACAGCTGACATTGCTCGTCCTTTTTGGCACAGGAGCAGGGTGTGCAGGCTACTGGGATAATGAAGGCATGGGGTGTTCTGTGATCTTGGTGTGAGATGAACCCCGTTTCCTCCTCTGAGAGAAGGCTCTCCCCCCACAAGCTGCTGATTGAGTTCATGTGTGAGGGTGCTGACCTGGAGTGGGGGCCTCCTCTGGGACGGCAGGGCCATTATCATGAATCTGGCCCAAGACAGGTCTGGTGCAGGGACCGTGGGGACCTGAGTGATGGCCACAGGGTTAACAACCCCAGCCCCACACACATCTAAGCATCTGTGATAGCTGCCAGCAGCCCCTTGAGGTCAAGCCAAGTGGGCTCCCCTCAGAGAGGCCACTGCATAGAAGATGTCAGACATGCATTTTCGGTGTCTCTGTGCCATTTATAGAGCAGAGACATCTCTGGGCACTCAGACCAAAAACACCATGCTGGGGAGTTCTTTTCTGGAGGTCTCGGTGAGTGCCAGCACAAGCTCCAGCCTGGACTTCCCTGAGGATCCCATACCTGTCACCTTGCTGGGAAAGACTGGCGCATGGGGGCAGGGGTCGAAGCCAAGCCTGAGCCTCCCAAGCCTCCACTGAGGCTGCTGTGTGCAGAGGGGACCTGGTGGAGCCCGCCTCCCTGCCACCAGCCTGGGCAGAGCTCCTGAGCCTGTCACCGCGCTTCCTCAAAGCACTGTGGAGAGATGGAAAACCCATGGCATGATGACAGTTTAGGGACAGGAGGGCTTTTAGAGGGAGAGCAACGCTTCCCGTCTCTGATGCTTGGATTGTCTACATCAAGTCCCTAACTAATGCCCTTAGAGGTCAACTCATGGCCCAGACACCTGGGCAGCCCGTGCCACCTGCAGGCTGAGAGCTGAACTTGAGTCCTTGATTGTAGTTCTGTTCTCCAGAAATGCATAGAACAGGTCGGCTTCTTCAGTCATGTCCCCTGGAGTCTTCAAGGTGATTGCCTCCACCCAACACCCTTGGCCCCCGTGACATTTTCTCCTGAAAGTTTTCTGCTGAAATGGCACAATGTGCTCCCCCAATCCTGCATGGCTCAGCCTAACCTGTAGAGAACTTTCTGTCCCTGAACTACACTGACACTCTGGGGCTTCCTGCTCTTGCCCCTGCTTGGGATGTTTGCCTCAGCACCAGGAGTGTGTGCCCTATTGAGCAAAGTGTGTCATGGCAAGGAAAAGATGTGACCGCTTACCCTGCCCCAGGCTAGTGGGTGAAAGCCTGCCGAGTGCTTGGCACGGTGCCCAGCACAGTCAGCACTCAGCTAACAGCACCCACTTTTATTGAGACCCCCCCCCCGCCCGCCCGCCCGCTGCTGACCAGTGCCCCCAGGCAGACCCTTTTGCCCTGTGCAGCCCTTATGTCCACCATGTTGTTTGGTTTCTGTGCTTCCTGTGGAAGTGAGCTTAGGGTGGCATCCTCTTACCCCTTCCTGACATGCTCCATTCCCCTGAGGCCTCTCTTGCCAGTGTCCCCAGCTGTCACCGCCTTTGGGAAGTCTCCCCTGCTTGCCTCTATCCTGTGTTCCCGCAGGCTGCCTGCAGCCCACAGCCACCCCACCATCCACTTGCTGCACTCTCTCCTTCCCTGAAGCACAGTTCTGAGAGCGGGGGCTCAGGTGTTTATCTTTGGCTTCCACGGTGCCACAATATGACAGGCTCTAGAAATGTGTGCCAAAGGAATGACGGTTTTCTTGCCTTTAAAGAAACCTGAATTGGTCTCGTGCTTTATTAGTGTAACAGCTCTCTTAGTAACCATTGCTTTTTCCACCTGATCTGCCCAGGTCAGGATAGTGCCCTTACTGCCAGGGGACCTGGGCACCTGTTGGGCGACACACCTGATGCCGGGCCTGGCTGGGGATGGACCGGATGGGCCCCTGGTGCTGGCTTTTCTTCCCTTGGGTAGGAGGCAGCAGGCTGAGCCTTCTGGGCAGATGTGGGCTGTGGGTCACTTTGGTCCACACAGTGGTTTTGAGTTTTTAAAATGCCATTAAGTTGCCAGCTCTTAGGAAACTAAGAGAAATCACACTTATTAGTTACTTACCTAAGCATCTGACAACCTGGATTTTCGTATGCCCAGGGCACCATCTGGCATGTGCTGTGCCCTGGGGTCCCCAGCTCCCCGCTGTCTGATGCCTGTATAGGTTTGTGATTCCTGCTAGGAAAAGGAACAGTCTCCGCCCTATTTGTCTCTTGGCGGTGGCACTTGGCTTGGCATATGTCCGTCACCCCTGCTCAGAAACCACCGTGCACTGTGGTTGCTAAGCCTGAAGCTTCAGCAGGCACTCGGGGCTGTCTGGGCTCCGCTGGGGTGGGGCAAAGGGAGGTAGAGTCACCCATCTCTCCTGCCCAGGACAAAGGGGGCGCTGGAGTCAAGGAGATGGACAGCTTGAACAGCGACCGACTGAGAACCGTGCAGCTAGATGTGTGCAGCCAGGAGGAGGTGGAGAAGGCGGTGCAGACGGTGTGCTCAAGCCTGAAGGACCCCGAGAAAGGTGGGGACACTGTGGGGGCAGCAGGGGAGGGCGGGCACCCTCCTTTCTTTATCGTCTGAATCCTTCTTCCTATATTGTAGAAGGGTATGGATTAAGTGAAACACACCCATGCAGTAGGGCAGCGTGAAACAGCCGGAGCTGACTGCAGGGAGATCTGCACTGGTCCCCACTGGCTTAGCACTGCAGACCCACGGGGCCCAGTGCTGGGCTGAGCGCTGGGGACCCCAGGCACACATCGTCCCCAAGGACCTTACGGTTCAGAGAGGGACTCACATCAGTGTCAGGGAGCCATGCATGGGGAGCGGCAGTGTGTGCAGAAGGAGGGGTGTGCCTGGTCTTGGGGTACAGTGGGGCTGGGTCACAGTGGCAGGCAGCGGTGGGAAAGTCGTGCCAGGAGCAGGCGGAGCAGGGGTGATGGAGGGAAGTGGCCCAGGTGTGTCTGCTGGGAGTGGTGGCACAAGTGAGTTCTGGGAGGGAGGTTACCGGAGCAAAGGTGTCAGGTGAAGGGAGTGTGACTGCTCTCCCAAGGACCCTGGGCAGCCACGGAAGCTCCGTCCCCAAGGGAATGACCTGACCTGTCCGATGAAGCTCACTGCGGGGACTGCCGTGATGGTGGGGAGGACGTGGGCTTGGTCGTCCTTAACTAGGGTAGCAGTTGCTGACAGACTCAGGAGTAGAGAGGGCACCACTGGCAGGACCTGAGAACTCAGGGGCAGGGTTGAGGGACAAGCAAGGGGTCTCCGTCCCACACACCTGGTACAGGAACAGGTGAGGGGTGGGAAAGATGCAGTTGTGGTCCTGGGACATGGTGAGGAGGGTCCAGAGAGACTCCTGGGGACCACGAGCACTTTGGACCAGGGCCCAGTAGGGTCCTATGCTGCCATGGAAGTCCTCGGGATCTCCCTGGTCAGCCACGCTGAGGATCTTGGTGGGAAGGCCCTGCTGCCCACCTCCAGAGGGCGCTGTCTGTGTAGTGTTGTGTTGGACGGTGCTCCAGGCAGCGAGGCTGTGCCATTGACTGCCTGGTAGACAGCCTGTGTGGTGGTGCATGCCTGTGACCCCAGTACTCAGGAGGCTGAGGCAGGAGGATCTCGGTAAGTTTGAGGTCCAGGTGGGCTACATGGTGAGTTCAAGGCCAGCCTGGGCTACATAGTGAGACCCTGACTCAAAAGCAAAGAAAACAGAAGGAAAAGAAAGGGGGCCTCCTAGAGCTCTCAGCCTCTTGCCCAGTGGGTGGGGAGGAGGGCGGGCAGTGCTGTGCATTCTGCCTGGCAAGTGGAGGGTCAGGTGGAAACGCTGTCACTTCTGAGAAGCACTTGTGTTGTGCAGGCAGCCTGGCTCGGCTGTCACTGGCAGCCCAAGGCTACCTCCACCCCTCCAGCAGGCCCTTCCTGGCTCAGGAGTTGCCCAATTTGCTGAACATCGTTTAATAATTAACAGGCAGAGTCTATACTCCTGTCCCTTTAAGAAAAAGCAGGACCGTGTCCCCGCCGCCCTGTTCCAGCCAGAGGCACAGTCCTGGTAAATTCTCCTCTGTCACCCTGCCCTCTCTCCCACTTTTCAGCAGGAATGTTGCCTTCACAGAAGTGTCAGGCAGGACAGTGGCTGCCTCTGCTGCTGCCTTACAGCCTGTGGCCTTGGTGGCAGTTTGAATTGCCCGGGAAGTCGCCAGTGACCTTAGCACAATGTGGACAGAATCGGACGCTGGGGTGGAATCGCCTCCAGTCCCTGTACTGGTCTGGCCAGTTCGCCTAGCTGGACTAGTCAGGGTCCCTTCTGCTCTGGCCACCAGTGGGAAAGGGCCCCCTGCCTAGTGCCAGCCTAGACATCTTTCCTGGCACATGTGATGATCCACTCACTGTGACCACCCTTAACCACTACTGCATGTTTTGGAAAAAGATGTGAAGACTTTTACGTTCAAAACAGAAAATAAATGCGTGAGACATAGTCATACCCTCTCAGTGCATTCCCCACCGCTGTGGCCACCTCTGGTCACAACCACTGGACAGGAACCCTTCAGGATCAGTGTCCTGGGGGTGACCTGAATGATTTAGACACCAGCCACATGCCACGGCCTTTCCCTGCCAGCAGGTGGCGCACTGCTAGGCAAGCCAGGGATCCAGGAATAGGATTCCCAGGTCAAGTTGCGGCCACCTTTTCAGATAACAGTGGCAGATGTGATTGTTTGGTTTCTAGGTGGAAAAGGACTAAAGACATGCTTTTTAGATTGTAAGCCGTTGTCCCATATGAATCAAGCACCAAACCACCAGAAATCCCACAAACAAAAAGAGAAGCAGGCTGAGGAAGGACAGGGCCATGGCCACCTGTCTCAGGGAAGGGGACTCAGGCAGAAGAAGGTGTCAGGAGGCTGCAGGAGAAGCAGCAGGCTGACACTTGGGTGTTCTTTAGTTGAGTCAGGGTCTCACTAAGTCACTAAGCCACCCAGGCTTGAGTTCAGCTCGTTCTCCTGCCTCATCCTCCCAGAGTGCTGAGATTATACCGTCACAACCAATAGTGTTCATTTATTGAGGACCTCATGTGCGTATTGATGGAGGGGGGAGCCAGGAGAAAGAGAGGGCTTTTGAAGAGGAGGGAGCCAGCCCAAGTGCTGGCTGTGACAAGTAGAGGGGGTCCCCTGCTCCTCCAGGAAGCGGGGAGTGTGAGGGTTTAGGAGGAGCCTGCTGCGAGGGGTGGGATCTGGGGTGCTGTCACTGGCGAGGACCCTGACGGTGTCACTAGGTCTTCCTGGAGTTTGTGAGGTCCCTGCAGGCAGCAGCGAGGGGCCCTGCACACTTTGTTAACCAGCAATTTCCTTTCCTTGATAAATGTCCTTAATTCACTGTAATTGAAGGGGAAGGCACAGAGATCGGTGGATGGAGCTGTAATTTGGTCAGGACGGAAGGAGAACAGATGGGGTGCAATCACTCTCACTGACACAACTCATTTCCGTGATGGGCTCAGAAAGTGGCCGGGTTCCTGCAGGAAGGGGGTATGGGGGGGGGGGCTCTGCTATGACGCTGCCCAGGAAGGGGTTCAGGACTTTCAGCCCAAGAGATGATCCCCAGGTGGCTAAGCCTCAAGGGTTCCCCAACAGAGAGGCAGGCCCTGGCCTGGGGATCTGCCCATCTGGTCTTTGCACCCCAAAACACTGAATTCCAAGAAGGCCCTGTAAACAGGGCTGCCTCCCTGGGTTCCTTTCCCTGGATTTAGCGCTACCTCCAACTTCTCAGTTAAACTTCAGTTTGGGCTTTCCTATTATGGCCTCAGTTTCTCTACCAGTAAGATGGGTCAATAGACCAGCAAACCCTTTGAGCCTTCCTGCACCTGTATTCTCTGTGTCTATAAGAGCCAGGTGTCCTTTAGCAAGCAGGTCCTGTGGGAAGCAGTCCACCAGTGTGAGAGTGTGTGTGTCCTCTGAACTCTGGAGCATTACACATGCTGAGAAAATAGGTCTCTGCTGGCAAAGGGACCCTGGGCCTGACAAGTCACTGGGCCTCACATGTGCTGAACAGCACACTGTGTCATGGTTTGGAAGAGGAAGATGAGAATGTAGAGTGGCTGTTACAAGGGTCTCAGGAAGGAGCAGAGGTGTCATTTGGGCTGTATCGTCCAGACTTGAAGGACAACCCAGCAAACAGCACTTTAGGCCTGCTGTCATTCTTGGGTGACTCAAAAGTTTTCTGAGAGCTTGGGCAAGAGGCTGGAAGTCACAGGGAATGGGGCCAAGTGGAGCAGGGGGTGCTGTAGGCTGATAGGTGATATCTGAGGCCGGACGCAGTTGTATCCGCTCCTGGACTGGTCAGCTGAACACTCACAGTTTAAAGAAGCCAAGATTTGATTTGGCTCACAGGTTCAGGGCATGGTCACCTGGCTCCAAGGCAGGATATCATGGTGGAAGGGCAGAACAAAGCTGCCAGGAGACGTAAGAGCACCATAGAGGAAGAGGTCAGGGCCCAGACATTGTCTCCAAGGTCTTGGCACAGCCATGCTTCACTAATCTCCAAGGAGATCTCTCAAGCCAATCAAATTGGCAATCCAGATTAACTGCCATGTCTTCTGTCCAGGGATGTGGGGCCTGGTTAACAATGCAGGCATCTCGACCTTCGGGGAGGTAGAGTTCACCAGCCTGGAGACCTACAAGGAAGTGGCAGAAGTGAACCTCTGGGGCACAGTGCGGACAACGAAATCTTTCCTCCCCCTCCTCCGAAGAGCCAAAGGTGAGTTGAGAAGACAGCTGCTTCTTGTCCCCTGGACATGCTCAGGATGGAAATTCCCCAGAGCCACCGTCCACAGCAGCAAGGCTGAGCTCATGAGTCCTGTGGCCATGCTAGGTGCTTAGAAGGTGGTGGGCAGAGGGGCATGACCAGATGTGTGACCTTCGGACAGTACAGCAGGTGTACCCATCATGGTACCACAGCAGGTGGCTTAATAAGAGTTAGTCTCCCCTTCTGTGGGGTTTTCACATCATAATTACAATGAGACAATTGTGGCACTGAATTAGGGAGAAGTATTAATCAAGATTAGAAATTTAGAAGACAAACAAAACACCCAGTCATAGCAAGTAGCTAAATGTAAACAGAGTACACTCACAGGCCTTTCTGAAAGGTGCCCCCCACAGAGCCCATGACCCCAGGATGGGCTGTGTTCCTTCCTTCCTTCCTTCCTTCCTGGTGTACTCCAGGGTAAGGGGTCCTGGTTGAATAGGGTTCACCTCCAGCCCTACCCAGGACTGAGAGAAGCTGTGGTGGCTCCTGATACCCTCAGGCTGGGCACCTTTCAAGGTCACCACTCTTCCAGTGCTGGAGACTCTACCCGCCTGCCCCAGCCCTGAAATCAGATTCGAACCCTGCCTCCTCCACCTTGGCCCGCTTCTCTGTGGGATGGGTGGTCTTAGGTTACTGCCCCACCTCCATCCCTAGCTTTGCTTCCCATCAGTGCATCTATAGACCCAGGGTGCTAATTACCTGCCATGTCACTAGGAGCATTGTCATTTGCCAAGGTGGCACTGCCCTTTGATACATGTGCAGTTTAAAGAGGAGAGGTTTATTTTGGCCCACGGTTTCAGAGAGTTCAGTCCACGGTTGCCTGACTCCAAGGCGGAGAAGCATCGTGGTGGAAGGGCCGGGTGGAGGGAAGCACTCACCCGATGGTTGCCAGGAGACAGAGAGGAATGAAGAGTCTGCAAAAAGACCATTTACAGTTGTGCCTTCCTCCAGCTAGGCCCCGAATCCTAATAGCCCTTCAGTTAGGAACTCATCAGTGAGTTAACCCATCAAGGCATCTCCTAATCAATCAAGCTGACAGTCAGGATTCACTGTCATACTGAGTGAGCTGAATTTTAAACTCCATGAGTGGAAGGAGAAGGTCCTATCCTGTGTTTCTCCAGCATCAAATTTTGCACACGGATTCCCCGTGGTCACAGCTGTCCTGCCTCTCCTGTTCTCCCGTTGCACTTTTACCTCCAGGTCTGACCACCAGGCAGGGCTATGTCTGGTTTTGAGTTAGTCAGTTGTGTGTTGCCTGTTATCCTGTGTCCTCCCAGCAAGCAGGGCTTGCTTGTCCCTCCTTTGTCCTCCTCTGCCCTGCCTGGCACACCCAGGAGAAGATCAGGGGTGCTAACCTGTAGGAGGCCCAAGCTGGCTGTAGTTGTACCCCTGGCCCTGGGTGGTTCTGAAGCGGTGCCAGCCAGGTGTCTGTGTCGGGGTGGTGCCGGCTGAAAAGTGTTTGCCATCTCCTTCCGTAGGCCGCGTGGTTAACATCAGCAGCATGCTGGGCCGCATGGCCAACCCAGCCCGCTCTCCATACTGCATCACCAAGTTTGGGGTGGAGGCCTTCTCTGACTGCCTGCGCTACGAGATGTACCCTCTGGGCGTGAAGGTCAGCGTGGTGGAGCCTGGCAACTACATCGCCGCCACCAGCCTCTACAGCCCCGAGCGCATCCAGGCCATCGCCAAGAAGATGTGGGATGAGCTGCCTGAGGTCGTGCGCAAGGACTATGGCAAGAAGTACTTCGATGAGAAGATCGCCAAGATGGAGACCTACTGCAACAGCGGCTCCACAGACACGTCCCCCGTCATCGATGCCGTCACCCACGCCCTGACCGCCACCACACCCTACACCCGCTACCACCCCATGGACTACTACTGGTGGCTGCGAATGCAGATCATCACCCACTTGCCTGGAGCCGTCTCTGACATGATCTACATACACTGAGAGCTTTGCTGTGGCCTGGCGGGAGCCGCAGCGGAGGGGAGGAGGGCGGGTGGAACACATACAGACACCTCTCCACCAGCCACCTGTGGGTCACCGCTGTCTTAGGAAGGCTCATTTTAGCATTAACCAGAGGCAGTAACCTGGCCTGACTGGTTCACGTGGTGATTGGCCTAGGTCCTCACAAGACGGGGTCCAGCCAGGTGCTCTGGACCCTGCCGTGAATGTGGTGCGTCTATCTGGGTTTGATTTCGTATGAAAATTTTGAGAAACATCTTTATATTAAAAACATTTATTATAGAATAGAATCCCTATTCCATTATACCTTTAGGCAAAACATTAACTCAAAAATATGTTGATCTTTTTGCCAGCCTTATGAGTAAGAATGACAGATGATTTTTGGTTCTGTGCATGAAGAATTTGCAGCAGAGAACAGATACATGAAATAACATATGTGCGTCCCAGAGTGTCCCACGTGTCCCTTTACCCAGGAGTCTTCTGACCAATCCTGTGTCCCCTGGAACCTTGTACACTGTGTCCACTGTGTACCTCTTTGCAGGTCCATATGCTGTATGGGTGGGGCATGGTGCTGCACACCTGTAATTCCAGCACTCGGAGGCTGAGGCAGAAGGATCACAAGTTCAAGGCCAGTTTGGTGCTATGTAAGTGGCAGGCGGCAACAGTGATTTCATTGTGGAAGGGACGTGGATCATTCTGGAGCCCTTCATCTGAGATCTTTCCACTGTCCTTGAGGACCTGAGCTGGTGTTGCTTTTAGCTAAGAGGGAAGTTTGTTTCTGGTTTGGGTCTGCTCGATTTTGCCTGGGGTAGGATTGGTGTTGGCTGGGGCTACAGATGGAGTAACCATGCCAAGGCCCAAGTGCTGGGTACATTCTCCCCAGGGTACCCTGTTAGTCCCATGTCTCACACACACACACACACACACACACACACACACACACACACACACACCTGCTGGGCAGGGCTTCTGGGCCCCCTTCATGGGTAGCTCACCTTCCTGCTGGAGCTTTACTTTTAATTAAACCAAGACACTGCTAGGTATAGTCTGTGTTCCTGCTTGGCCTTGGATTTGAAAGCTGCCATCCCTGCAATTGCTCAGGGCCTGGATTTTTGGACCCAAACTAGGCACCATGTCCTCCAGGTGGCTGCAAGCTTCTGGCAGGGTCCTGAGTGCCAGCTTTGCAAATCAAATCAAAATAGGGCCGCCCTCCTCCCGGGGAGGACCAGGCTGCCACTAGAGGGCATCCAACTCCTCTGCAGCCAGAACTTGATTCCTACTGAACTGAGAGGGTTCCATACAAGGCCAGGTCTCGCACAGGGCGTGTGGCCCCTACCCCGGAAACTGCTTGGGAACGGAAAAGGAAGGCCGCTTCAGACACAGCCGTGCTGCGCTCCTCCCAGCTGCCTGACTCGAGTCTGGAGCCTGGAGAAGGCAGAGGAGCCCTGGCAGCTGGAACAGGCAGTGGGGCACAGGCAGTGCCAAGGCAAAGAGGACCTCACAAAGAGCAAATTCAGCCTGCCTTTGGGGCCTTTGTCTCCTCTGTCTGAAACGTTGCCCTGTCCCAGCTTCTGTCTGCGGGGACACCGAGGAGGGGCTGTTACCTACACAGCTTGCCTCCAGCAGGGGTCTTCCACAAGCTTCCACTTTTACATCTTAGGAGAATTTGTTCTCAGGCTTCGTAAAGGTGAATGGATGTAACTCCTGCAGCCAGACATGTGCGCCCCTCCCTGGGAACCAGAGGAAAGTGGGTGGCCCCATGCTCTGTGCCCCAGTCAGCAGGAAACAGAACTCTGGGGACACCACATCTGTGCTTGTGGAGGTCCTTAGTAGTAAGACTACAATCGCCTGCAGCCTGTTCCCATTTTTAATTTTTTCCCGGTGATTGAGAAGCCTAAGGTGACTTTCCTCCAACTAATCTCCCATTTACCCTCCACTTCCCTCACTTTCTGGCAGCTAACAGCTGAATTGGGTACCGTGTATATTTTAATCATTATGAGAAGCAGATGAGCCAAGCAGAACTGAGACTGTTCCCATTTTATAGATGACATAACTGAGGCCTGAAGAAGGGAAATGGCTCTCTTGATGTCACAACAGATGTGGGCAGAACCAGGTAAAAAAAAAGTCTCCTAGGGATACCATTCCCCCTCCTAGGGGCACCAGTTACCATCATAGAACACCACGGCTGACAACAACCTGAGCAGCACAGCTGGCTCAATCACGGAGCAGTGGTTGCCACCCCGGCCATCACTGCCCGCAGAGAGCAGATTGCTGTGCCTTCCTCTTGGGGTAGCCTAGGTCCTGTCCTGCTGAAAACAGGTGCTGTCCTGGAGAGGAGCCACATCTCCAGTACCCTATGATGATGCCCTTGGTCAGGGAGGCCAGAGGTGCCTCTCCTGATGCTGCCTCAGGCCTGCGGCTCGGGGCCTGGAGCTCTCGAAGGACTCCCTATATCCCAAGCAGGATGTACTGCTTAAACAGGGGCAAGGTGAGTCCTCAGCCAGCCCTGGCAGCCCTGCACCAGGTCGAGGGACTGAATGGAATCCTCTCAAACTCATGTGCTAAAGCCCATCGCTGTGGTACAGGGAGGGTTTTTGGCAGGAAATAAGGACAAATGAGGTCCTGGGGGTGACATACTAACTCACCCATCAATATGAAGGTTGTGGCCTAATGAGAGGAAGAGAGAGCTTTCTTCCCCCAGCATATTTGACTTCCAGCCTTTGGAACTGCAAAAATAAAACAAATTTCCATTGCTTTGGTTTTTGAGAGAGGGTCTTGCTTTGTAGTTCATGCTGGCCTTGAACTCACTGGGTACCCCAGGTTGGCCTGTGATTTGTGGGTATCCTCCTGCTACACTTCCCACATGTTGGTATGGGTATGCACCATGACACCCAGCCCTAAGTTTCTGTTCTGTAAGTTCTAGACCATGGCATTTTGTTATAAACTGTCCAAAATGGCCAATTCAGCCAGGAACGACTCATTTATTATCTCCCTGAAACTCTTCGCTAGCCTATGAGTCTGCCATCTGTCATGTGATCTTCAGCTTGAGTTGGTGCTGCAGGAAAAGGAGAGAAAACATTTCAGGCAGAGCCTGAGACTGCAGGAGGGAGCTCAGCTGACGCAGGGCTTTAGTGGGGCTCTGTGGGGACCCAGAGTCTGGCCTGCCACTACCGTGCACCCATCTTCTGTTGGCTGGAGGCTGGACAAGAGCTCAAGATGCTTGGCCGGGCCTTGTTATGGAGCACGCGCTGTGCTCACTCCACCCCAGGGCCAAGAGGGTGCTGAGCAGGGGCAGGGAGTCCGCCAAAGACTTGGTGCTGAGGTCTGTCCACTTTCTGTGTTTCAAACAGCCCGGCTCCGCAGGTCCCGCTGCACTTCCTGTGCTCATGTGGGTGTGCAAAGGTTCCGGGCTCAGGCTGCAGGTATCAGCCAGGCTCGAATGTGTGTGTGGTGCCAGGCACAGTTCCCAACCAGTCTGCCACTGCCACCTCTCACCCAATTCTGCATTCTCTCAGCCACCCTAGCAGGCAGGCAGGGTGGGGTCGAGATCTCATTTTACAGATCAAGAAACAGGCTTTGCTCAGTCTCTTCCCACCAAAGAGATGAAGCCTGGCGATGGCCACACCAGATCCAACCTCCAGCCCGGAGTCAGAGATGCATGAAAAGCGGGGCAGATGGCACAGGATCTAAAATAAGGAGGAGAAAAAAATACTCAATTACGCAACAGCGAGAGGAATCTTGACACCCATGCACAGGAACTGCCACCGCAGGGCTGCATGAGCCAGTTCTTCCCTTTCCTCTCCCAGTCCTGTCCGGGGGAGACCATGGGCCAGAGGGGCTCACCAGTGCCCCTGCAGTGGGCAGTGTACCTGGCTGGGCTGATTCTGTCCCTACATGGGCATTTCTTTTCTCCTTTTCCTTCTTTTTCATGAAACAGGGTCTGGCTGTTTTCCAGGCTGGCCTTAAACTCACAGTGACCCTCCTCCCGCAGCCTCTGGAGGCTATGGGATTCCAAGTGCGGGGCACTATTCCACCTGGCCCTAGGTAGGCATTTCTGTGGGCATGCTCTAGGAACCCCCAAATCCTGGGAGCTTCCCAAAAGGCCTTGAGGAGCCGAGGAGCAGAGCTTGAGGTGCATAGTGGTGATTTCTGCACTGCTGGCATGAAGAGGGATTTGGGGTTCTAGGGCTCTAGTGGAAACCAAACAGGGGCTCTTCTGATGCGTACAGGTGCTGAGAAGTGGTGATTCATGAATGGTGGCTTCAGAGACACAGGGTGAGCACCTGCTGGTCCAGAGACTGTGGACAAAGGATCAGAGAGCTAGGGGCATGGACTGAGAGGAGAGGAAGGGGCACTGGGCCAGCATCAAGCCTGAATTGCAGCTCCCTGGATGGGCAGCCTGATAGCTGTGGCTTGAATCCCTCCAGTGATAGGGAGCTCATTACTTCTTGAGGAAGCACGTCCTTACTTTAGAAATATCCAAAGTCTAAACTGCAGTCTACCATCTCTATCCAGATTCCTTTGGCACCTGGCTCTGACCCAGACTCACCCAGAGCAATGTAAGCCTTGTCAGCCCTCAGAATATGTGGAAGTGGCCGCATCAAGTCCAAAGCCCAGACCCTTCATTTGACAAGAGCTCTGTAACCCCTGACTGTCTGAACATATTTTAGCCACGGTTACCTTGTCCCTCATTCCTGAATGGCCACCAGAGTCCTCCCCAAGTGACCAAGAGCTCTGAGATGGTCCTAACACCTTTGGTGAGGTGCTGGAAACTTAAAAACTAACCTGGTGCGTTCACAAGTAATCTGTCAGCCCAAGAGAAACTTGATGAGTTAGGCAGAACTGTCAATCTGTCCATCTTTCTTTACAGATAGGGACAATGGGCCATGGGGGAGGGGAAGTGATTTATCTGAGATGGTCGAGCCTGAAGCGGAAGGGCCATGCTGAAACCTGGCCTTTTGGTTTCCATCTCTGGAGCCCAGGCTGTCTCAGTCTCCTCCATTAGGGTCCTGGAGCCAGGATGGACTCAGCTCAGAGAAGAAGCGATGAGTGGGGAGCATTAAAGTCAACTTCCTCCTACTCCCCACTTTTACAGAGAGGGGTTTGGATAGGCGGCCCAGTGTGCCTATCGTGTGGCACATGTGTCATGAGGTGGCCTGCAGTCCTTGGGTGGCCAGAGCATGCAGAAAGTTGGGGCAGGAAGTATCTCCCAGGCTGGGTGGGGGGCTGTCCTGCCTCTCAGTCCACAGCGGTGTGGGGGGAAACCTCAGGAGACGCCAGGGCCCAGAAATGCTGTGAGCTGCTCTTGCTATGAGATTTAATTACCCTCTTGCATGTCAGCTACTCCTCGCTTATCAAATTATAGGTGAGCTTAATTACAGCTCCCTGAGTAACTGGGCTCCTCCAGAAACGCCAGCTTCAACTGGGGCCAGTCTGGTCTGGGGAGAATTCCTATTGTCCCTGGGATCCCCGCTGGGTGGACTCTGCTGTCCTGCCCATCAGCGTGCTGGGACCACTGTCACCCAGCTCCTGGAAGGGCTTAGGCTGTGCCTTCTGCTCACCGGGGCGGTTTACTCTGCAGTCTGTCTGTCTGTCTGCCTCTCTCTCCTCTATGTGTGTTCAGTTCTGCACAAAGGCTATGGTGCTTAATGCCTGGCAGAGCCATGCAGGACCTGCTGGAAGAAATGAAGCCCAAACCCAGTTCTGGGTGTGAAGCAGGCTTGTTGGAAACTCAGGGCACCTTCAAAGAAGCAGGGTAAAGAGCAGTGGGCCCCTCGGGACTGGTAACAGGTCAAAGGCATCATGAGGACCTCTCAAACTTCCCTGCAGGCCAGCAGGGTTCTCCTTCTTACAGCAGGGGCAGCGGGAACCATCGTGTGATTGCAGCCCAGCCCAGTCTGACCCAGATGGACAGATGCCATGATTTGAAAGTCTTTTTTCTATCAGATACGAGTGACAAACAGCAGCCATTCAATATACACACAGCTCTATCCCAATTCTTCCTTGCACGGCCTTGGGGCCCAGGTTGACGCCTGATGGCAGGGTATAGATGAGCAGGAAACTTTCTTTACTGGGGAGCCCCATGACTTTCCCAGGGGAATATAAGCCAAAGTCCAGGAGCCCAGTGACCATATGAGGTGGCTAAGCAAAAGGTGCAGGCTGCTGGATTCATGTCCAGGCAGGGGCCATAAGACAGGCTGGGCTGGACATGTGGTGTAGAGCCTGGGGCCAAGACCAGATCTCATAGATGGAGGAACACTGCCTGGAATACCACCTGGAGCTCTGCGACCAGAACACCACCTGGAGCTCTGTGACCAGTCGATACTGTTGGCCTTGGAGGTTTCTCGTCTGTGAGGCTAAGTGTACAATGCAAGAACATAGTAGGACATTTAAAAGTCAGGAATGCAGCTGGCTTTCTGCACAGAGAAGGAAGGGCACTTTTAGAAGGTCCCCAGTGGACAGTCCCCTGGAAAGGTAGCCTGCTGGAGATACCCTAATTGAGATGGGAGGGACCTCAGAGACCCTATAGCCAAGCGATGGGAAAGAAACAGGCTTTGCTGGGAATTGCGCTCTGGGTAAGAAAGAAGATGAGGTTGGAGCCAGACACACCTGACTCTGGTACTGTTCTGTGACTCCTGGGCTTGTGTAATGCTGTCTAGTTACCCAGTCTCACTGAGCCTCAATTTGTTTATCTGTGTTGGGGACGATGACCTGTGTTTTGCAGGGCCATTATGTATGTCAGGTGAGCGTGTCTGCTGCCCAGGACAGTGCCTGGCACAGGAGCAAGGGTGTCCCTGAGGCAGCAAGGGTGTCCCTGAGTGTCCCTTGAGTGGGAGACACTCAAGGTCAGAGCCCTTTTCCGGCTCATTCCACACCTGCCAGGGGCCAAAGGCAGGAAGTACTTTGCTTTCCCAGGAGCCCTGCCTGGTTGCAGAGGTGGAACAAACTGTACAGCCCTGAGCCCTCCCCCTGCCCCCTGCTGGAAGCCCCGGAGGGGTGGATTAAGAATTACTGGCCACAAGGGATTAAGTCTGACAGCCCAGACAAGTTCATCATGGGCTTAGATGGGGGAGGAGGCATTTTCTCAAGCATTAACCCTCAAAATTGCCAGCAGGGTCGTCCCATTCCTTCAGCTCAGGGGAAGGGAAGGAACCCCTACCCCCTCCCCCATCTTGTGCTAGGGCTCTCCCTAGCAGACCTGTTCAGTCTTACCCAGGCCGCAGCTCCCTTCTTTTCTCCAACTGGAGCAGGGGGCAGATGCTAAAAGTGACCTATAATCAGCTGTGGGGTCCACGGTGTGGGACTGAGGGCAGACAGGTGGGCTGCACCACCCGGAACTAGCTGTCACCCGGGACAGCAGTGCTATCATGATGTACAACCTGAGTTTGGGGGAGCCCCAGAAGGGAGAGGGAAATTCGGGCTGGCAGATGACAGGTGCTTCCCAAAGGGGCCGTGCTTTACCTGGCCCAGCCGTGGCTCTTGGCAGTGTGTTACAACCCATCAGGGCGGAGAGGAGTGTAAATTTTTCTCTTCCTCCCCGCATCTGAACTTCAGGGAAGTGGACATTGAACCCAGGGCCTTCACTCTGAGCTACATCTGCAGCCCCTTATTGATTATTTATTTTAAAACAGGATTTCACTAAATCTCTAAGTTGCCCAAGCTGCACTCAAATTTTAGATCCTCCTGCCTTAGTGCCCCCAGAGAGCTAGGATTATACACTTGTGCCACAACACTGGCAAATGACAGAACCTTTGAAAAGAAGGTGC